TATTTAAATCCTGTTAAATATTTGACAGGTAGTATCTAGTCAATCCAAAGATTTGGCTCCTAACTCCTGTGATTAAGGATTATTTGAAACAACCCAAACCTCTGTTTACATCTCTTCCATTCATTCATGTGGAAAGTTTGTTGCTTTAGCTTTCTAATTGTAAAAGACAGCCGGTTGCACTTTAGTGTGCCTGTCTTGTCTAGATAAATAAGTCAAGTGTGTATTTATCTGTATCACCTAGTGCATGTGTTGGCGTGTGTGAGTGTGTGCATGCTGCTGATATTGCAGGGTTTGCAAACAGGAGTACTGCTGGCTGTGGACCAAGAGGAGGTTTACATGGGGCTGGGCCACGAGGGCTCAAACCACCTTACTGCCCCTATCCAGACGCCCTCCTCCCAATCCAACCTGCCCCTTGCTCCTCAGCCCGCCCAGCCCACCGCCACCACAACCAGTACCAGCACCCCTCCTCCACTCTCAGCCACTCACATGCACCCTCTTTTCTCTCTCCTTCCTGCCGTGTGCCATTCCTCTCTCTCTCTCTCTCTCTCTGCACTCACCCAAAGTGGCCAGATCTCTCCTCTCTTTCTCTTGTCCTGTCTGCATCCCTCCACCACTCTTTCTTTCTCTTCCTCCACGGCGACCAGCCCGAGTCTGTTCACATTCACCTCCACAAGTTGAAAGGATCTCAGCCCACCGCTTTCCCAAACTTCCTCCGGCCAAAGACTTTATTTTCATTCTTGACCTTTTTTGGGTCCCTCAACATTTTACTACCGTAGACGCCGGTTGGTGTGTGTCTGGTGTGTGTTACGTCTCCGGTGTTGTGCCCCTGGGGACGTCTCTGTGGGTTTTGACTGGCGAGAAGAGCGGAGAAGAGTTCTTTTTGACACAATGAAAGTTCAGCTGCTGCTCCTGTCGGCCCTTGTTGGCCTTTTGTGCGCCTTCACAAGTGCAAGTAAGTGAACTCTCAGCTATCACCATCCTACTGTTAGCACACTATGTCCTCTCTCTCTCCCTCTGGCTCCATGTGCCCTCACCACACTTCTCTTTGTCTGCTTTAATCCCTGCCGATTGAACAATAACACTTTGCAGGCTGGATTCAAATGGGGGGGAAATGGTCCAGGTTTCATTTGTATTCATTAATAAGTTAATGCGATTGTTTGTTTACACGCAAATACACAAGTGTTAAACACGTACTCACGTTTTAAATCTTTTTTTGTGTAATATCTAAGAATATTTCTTCTAGCATCTGCGGTTAATCCACCAAACTTGGCCAAAGATCAGTGATTGGAAAAGCGAAGGTGTTAATTTAACAAAGAGGGATCAGCTCATATGAATGCTCCGTGTTCATTTTAACAAATTACCTCATCCTGCTTTGCTGTATTTTTCCCTCGCTGTCACTGTTGTCTCTCTTTCTTTTTCTTTTTTTTTGCAAGCATGGGGGGAAAAAATATATGATGTAATAGCAAGAAGCTGTGGTGCCTCGTGTCTGTAGTTTTCTTGGCACAACCAAAAGAGAAGAAAGCAATATCCTTTGGAAGCATCCCAAAAACTGTGGTCATGTGCAGGGGTGGGGGGGGGCTGTAAACTGTAACATACACCGTACATATTTATCCGAAAGCCTATCCTGTGCTTCCTCTCGTTTTACTCCTGATTCTCCTATTCCTCTCTCGCTGCACTTGATTTTGCCTTCTCCTTTTTCTCTCTGTTTTTGTTTCTCCCCCCTTCATCTGTGCTTTGTCTCCAGTCGTTCTCACAGCGTGTATCGTTTAACTTTCTGTCTTTCTTTGCCTTGCTTTCTTCTTTTGCCTTGACCAGCCACTCTCTGCCCAGTAGTTGTGGCTGAAAGTGCAGGGCAGGGCAGGGCCGTTTTGTGTCTGTGGGTGTATTAATAGTGGGAGGCTCTATATTTAAGAGGGTCATATGGATGAGAGAGGAGCAAGAGACTTGATGAACTTTGAGAGCTGCCCCACCCTCTTTTACCCGTGTGTTGTTAGCATGTGCAGCACACCAGCCCTTGGCATTTACCCATCTTTGGTGGGGCTGCAAACTTTACCACTTAAAATAACCCCTTCCTTCTCCACCCCCAACCACCACCATCTCTTAACAGCCCTTCAGCTTTCTCAAGCTCTCTCGCTTCCAGGTTCATGAGTGTAACCCTCAGATTTGGGGGAACACAGGATGCACAAAGAGCGATGGGTCTATTGTTACACGACAAGCTTTTCCTGGTCTGTGTGTCTGTCCCGTTTTATGGCGGGGTTTGCTTCTTCTTCTTTTTTTTAACTGAGGAAGAAACTGCTGAAGTTTTCAGAAAGTCTTCCCTGTTCTTGTTAAGAAAACAAAGGAAATCAGTCATTCCCCACTCATACCTCACAAATGGAGCCTTTCTAACTCCCATCTCCATCCTGTACGATCATCCACCACCGCCCTCTCGCTGCTACTCCCCCCGCCCCTCCCCTCGTCTCCTTCTTATGAGTTTTGTCTGCAGTTGCTTGGCCAGTAACATCCCATTCACATCTGGCCGCCGAAGGAAGAGGTTAATGCCCTTTGTCCGAGCCCGCTTGAAGAAATGACCCAAATGTTGCGCTACCGTTCCAAGTATGAGACACGCGCGTAAGGAAAGACCACGAGGTCCGA